AACTCGTGGAGATAGAGGGACAATGTCTGTACCTGCTTCTTCATCTTCTAAGGGCTACTCTGATTAGGTCAGGCGCACCCTCAGTGACCTCCACTCAGTCAATGATTAGTATCCTAATCACGGAAACTAGATCCCACTGAATCACAGGTTCCACCTGCAATGGGACAGGACACTGGAGATCATGGGGCCACCTTAGAATTTTCCCTACAAGAGACAGGATAGCCAGGGAAGGACTTTCATCTTGGTTACTTTTGAGCAAAGACCTGGAAAAAGATATCAAAGACTGAGCTCTATAAAGGTAACTAGTAAAAATTTTAAAGTACATTATGGGACTGGCTTTCTTGACTCACATTATATTTCTGTTGGCCAGTACTAGGACAGACACTGGACAAATGCCTTATACCACAGCTGAAAATAAGCACTATGTGCATTCCTGTTTTACCAATGAGGACACCGAGGTTCCAAGAGGTTGACTAACACCCTCAAGTTCACGCGGTCAAACGTGGGAAGACCAGGATGTGAGCCGAGGTGAGGAACCAAGCTGCACAGCAGGACACAGGAATACCACCTGCGCTGTCACTCAGGGGACACACCCAGGAGCACTCAGGGTGGGCTTAATGCTCCACTGTCACTATGTTGAGGTTCTTAATTTTATCTAACTCGGGTTTGTAAGTGAAGTCCGAGGAGACAATGGTGCACGCCCATGAGCGGAGGGGATGCCCGCCATGTACCTGCCTTTCCATTTACATACAGCATATGGGAAGCCCCCGGGCACAGATGCCACTGGACCCATGATGGCGAGAGTTCAGTGAGACTCAACATGAGCACAGGGTAAGTATGTCATGTCCATGACTACGTAAACGGGAGCGCGGACGGCCCTGAGAGGCTACACCCTTTCCATTTGAACCAGATGCCTTCGGGGATCCTGAAAACAGCTGCACCCATGTGGTCCAGCGCAGGGGTAGTGATCGGGACGGGAGTGGGGGAGCACTGAGGAGGGTCCCTAGGAATCTGAAAACGTCCAAGAATCCTAAACTAATGACTTATCTCCAGTGAGCCCCCCTAAATAGCAGCACGTTATTCTAGCACAGCTTCTGGAACACACTCCCCCTTGGAGACAAGATAACCGGGTATATTCTGAGATCTGGGACCGGACTTCTGTGTGGTGATGGACCTCAACTGGGAAGATGTCATGGGGTTATCTGGGGAGTATGCCCACTGTGCCCACCACCACCACCTGAGCCACCCTCATGGCTGCCTGAAGTGTCCTGGGGAGAGCTTTATTCCAGAACCTAGGGATAGATATACGTAAAATATGTGTGATGTATTCCTGGGAGGGATGGTGTTTTAAACATTTATTGTTCATTTATAACTTACTGATAAAAACTAAAATTTGCTATTTGACATTCACAAAACTAAGACAGTCTAAAGGAACTTTAAGTTCTGTACCCAGGTTTGTGTAAGTTGGATTTGAGGACATATATGGTCCTCGGTGTAAATGTCTGGGCACAAGCATAATTTCCAGGCAGGGCCTCAGACTTGCAAGGCAGTGGACATGGTGACACAGAACTCAAGGTCCCCAAACATTAAAGGGGGACCCAGGAAATATCTGGGTTACAGATGAAACAGAGCATTTATTAAGGTAAATGTATAACATGTTAAAAGGCAGATTGGAAAACAGGATAGCAGAGTAGGGCAGAAGGACCTAGAGGCCCAAGAAGGGTGGAAGGGATCCGCTCAGCTGGTGTGGGGAGGGGCTGTGGACACATCCTCTTGAAGGCGTACCCTCCCCCACCCTCAGAAGCCCTGTGTGACTCCACAGTGCTCTGTGATGCGGGCCTGGCAATAAAGTCAAGAGTCTGCACTCTCAGAGCTCAGCTCCTCAAATGGAGCCCTGCCTATTTCCGAGCAGCCTATCAGAGCTTGATCCGAGCTTCTGCTCAGAATCTTTAGACAGTAGCCGCAACCTAATTTACATCTGTGTGTTGTGGTTGTTCCTCCTCTTATTCATTTTCCTTGTGGGAATTCCATCCACCCCAACCTTCTGGGAAAATGAACACATACAAAAGGTAAGGAACCCTGACCAAGCCCCAACAGAGTTCTTTATTGTTTCTGTTTCTATTCCCACATTTTAAAATGAGTCTGGTTGAGTCAGTGATGCAACAAAGACAGGACATCTGAGGAGAGAACAGAACATCACTCTTCTAGGGGAAGAGACCAGGCAGGTCTAGGGGTTCAGGGAGGACTCGGGTTCCCATATGAAGCTCACAGACCATCTGGGTGTGGTGGCAGGTTTCTGGCTACAAACACAGTGGTTCTCTGGTTCTGGGTCAAGTTATTCAGGGACTTGGGGATCTCTGTAGGACGTCAGAGTTAACCAGCACTTCGTCACGAGTCATACTCCCGTCAGGCATCACTGGACCAACCCTTTGTGTTCGGCTGGTCAGGAGAGCAGTGCTGAGCCTCCGAGAGCCTCTGAGCAGAGGCTGCAGCCTGAGCACCGTCCCAGGCTACAGGGTCCTCTCTGAGGGAACAGACGTGACTGCAGACCTCGGATTATGTGCCTCATTGAGCAGAGGACCTCTGAGAACACCAAGTGTGGACCTCGTAGACAAAACACTTAGAGTTTTTCAAGATGGGAAAATTAAAAACACAAGGGAATGAACATAAGGAAGGGACACAAAGTTCTATTAATTACAATGCATTGGTCAGCTCAGAGAGACACTGGTCTTGGGTAATAAATGTCTGAGTGTCCGAGGGAGAGGAGTAAGAAATGAGTCCCAACCCCTCACTCTTTCCTTTGTGTTCTCAGCGTCAGGGCAGAGCCAAGAGGAGAAGGAAAGGTGGGACACCGAAAGGTAAGGTTCTGCCTATTCCATCCCAGCTCCCCATGGGGACCCTTTCTCTCTCCTTCCATGAGGCACCAGGTCCATGATCTCTGTGTCACTTGGTAGATACACCCGCTCAGGAAACAGAGCCCTCAGAGGAGAGGCTCATGGAAAGACAGTCAGAACCTGAGACATTTCTCAGATTCCCTGCTCTGCCGTCCCTGGGTTTGAAGCAGTGAGGGACCTTGGCCATGGATGTTGCCCCATAGACAGCGAGAGTCAGAACTTCTGTCTCCTGACTTTGTGAAAGTACTTTGGATGGAGGATGATCAGATTCCTCTTTGTTGTAACCATTGACGTCTCTGCTTCACAGAGTGTTTTTGAGCATCAAATGAGATAATGTGTATAAAAGTACTTTATAAATGAAGTAACATACACATGGGGACCTTATTAATATTAACATTGACCACTTGACTTCATCTACTAATTCTTGGGACTTTAAGAGTCTCATATCCCATTGGTCGCCCATATAGGGACTCCTGTTTAATGCCTATGCATCTACCTTCATTGCATGTAACCCACTCTCCTGATTTCCCAGGTTCAGGATATTACCACAGGGAAGAGGAAAAAAACAGCCTGATTTCTATCTTGAGAAGGTGACTAGTCTTTCCTCCCTTTTCCTGATCTCTCTGTAGCATGTTCTATGCAATTCCAGGGATCCAGTGGAGCCTTCCACAGTCATGGGAGGGGTTGCCATAGGAACGGGCATGTGAGTGAATGCCTTGGGGTGGGTGCTGCTGAGTGCACTGTGAAGTCATGGGTGTGGAGCAATGGGAAGGGGCAGCAGGCTTCAGGTGGCCCCACCCCCACCAGGCCAGTAGGTCCTCCTCTCCTTGTTCGGGTCCTGGCTGCAGCTTTGTACCTCCTGTCTCCTGCAGCCCCCTGGGCCAGCATCATGATACCAACCACATTCGTCAACTTTTATGTCCAGACCCCTCCTGTGAGGTGTGTAATAATGCAACCGCTGAAATCAAGGAGCTGCTGTACTCAGAGGGCCTGGAAGAGTCTACTCCCTCTGTGTCCCCTTGGGCTCCCACAGCTCCTGCGACTGAGCCATTGTTCACTCAGTCCTCTGCCATCTCAGCAGTCCCTCCAGGGGACCTGATACCACCTCCTCTGCCTGAGCCTTTCCCCCCTCCCCCCTCCGTTCTCTCCCCTAACCCAATGACCCCCTTGGGTAGTTTTCTGTCACCCTCATCACCGGGTCAAACCCTGTCTCCAGAGCCTTTTCCTCCCTTGGAATCCAAATTCCCAGTGCACTGTTCCCCACCCCAACCCAAAGACTTGCTCTCTTCAACCTCGACACAATGTGATTTCCATCAAGAGTTTTCTGCCCTCCATTCCACAAAGACCTCTTTTGGGGGAAACTCTGCAGCCAAACTTATAGATCCTAGACACCTCCCATTTCTCAGCTCTGATGAGCATGACTCGGTACAGCAGTCCTCATATCCTAAGCCCAGGGAGGACCATTTAAAGCAAAACTTTATACATTTTTTCTGGGGTCTTCCGTCTCTGCACAGTGAATCCTTGACCTCTGCTGTCCATGTCTTGGATGACTCTTCCACAACCTTTATTTTCAATAGCATCTCAAATGCCTCCACAGGCCAAGAATCCCCAGTACTTCGTAATTTCCTACCGGCACCCTTGCCTGAAGTTCAACCTCAACCCTTGCTTCAAACCCTGCCCCAATCCCAACCCCTACCTCTTACTCCGATCCAACCCCAGGCCCACCTTCATTCCTCACTCCCAATCCTACCACCCAGTCCCACATCCCAGATCAGGGTCGGTGAAGTGTATGTCCATAGACCCCAGAATGAATCAAAATGTCTCACCTCATCTGACATTCAAGACCCGGAATGGAAAGTGTTGCAGAAGAAACAGGAAAATTTGGGGGTACCCTCTGTGGTTCCACATTTTAAGAAAGACTCCTGTTCTTCAGCTCCTACCTCTCCTAACTGCCAGCCTTTTAGGGCCCGTGTTTCAGTCTCCACCGATCCTGCAGAGTTTTCTATCAGCAGTGAGCATCAAGAGAAATTTGAACATCACCTTAGACAGAGGCTCATCCAACAGCAGCAGGGCCTGCCCCACAGGGTCCATGAGTCCCTGTCACTGATGAGGTCTCTGAGCGACTGCTCAGACATATCTGAGTCAAAGAGCAGTTATGGCCTCTCACAGATCTCTGTGTACAAGGGCCAGAGTAACAAAAATCTACATGTTGGATTGAGCCAACCAGGAAGCTTCTATGAGAGGGCCTCAGACATGTTTCAGCTAGAGGAGGATGAGGGGAAGGATGAGAGAGAGAGACAAGGGGGTGATCCAAAAGATCATTTGCTAAGAGACTCAGAGAGCTCTTCACATAAGGATGTGGGAAATGACACTTACTTGATGAGTCTGTCAGGGGAAAACTCAATGATGTCAGGACAGAGTGTAAATCGGAGACAACTGGAAAGTGTCCTGAAAGTACACCTGAGCAAAAAGTTTGAGGAAATCAGTGAAGGTCAGCTCCCAGGGACTGTGCATAGTTCACGGCACACGATCGGGCAGACTCCTGTGCAGCCCCACCCCGAAACAGCACGGAGCAGTGGGCCAGCCCCAGTGGGTGGGGGCTGCCACCTGAGTACATGCCAGGAGCTTTCCTTCCTTCAGTCCAGCGCTCAGCAGAGGCTGGAAGCCCACATGACTGAGTTTCGTACAAGGATGTTGCAGGGCCTTCCCCCCATAGTCCGGAAGTCCATAGAGACCTTTAAATTGAGAGATACTTCACACCCTTCCTTGATTGATCCCAAGTCTTCCTCTTCAACCGACCTGGTTTCTGAGGTGAGCTCCGAATCTGGGGGCTTCACAGCCCTGAGAGGAAACTCTAAATCCCCCCACGTGGACAGAGAGGGACCAGAGAATTCAGCCACCATCCTGCATCTTCCTCTCCCTGCCGCCCCACTTGTGGACAAGGAAGGACAAGGGACCCTGACAAATTCACCCTCTGATATCAGACAAGGACTTTCAGAAGAACTACAAAAGATTCTGAATGCCAAAAAGACTCTTCTGCCTGTCACAAACAGTACCATTAGCAAAACAAGTGAGAGACGTACTCCGAGACCCAACATTCGACCCCCAACGCTGCCCACAGTGCAAGCAGGGACCGGGCATGAGCTGAAGGACAAGACTGTGAATGCCAGTGACAGAGCAGAAATACTACAGGGCACAAACGGGGAGAAGTCAGAACCTGCTTCCATGCCCACCGTGTCCAGGGAGACAGTTAGGGCCGAGGAGCTCGATGCTCTTCAATCCAAATCTAGTGACCTCTTAACAACCAGCAAACCAGAAATTTCCCAAAAGATAAATGTGGATGAGAATAAAGGAGAAACTGCTGTGACCACTGAAGAGTCCCCACCAGAAATGTCAGTTCTCCAAGATCCCAAATTATCAGATGTACAGAAGCAACTCATTGATGAGTTAAAGGCTAAACTGGAGAAGGGGAACCACAGCCAGGCCCAAGGCCAACCCACTGACACGCACCATGACTCGGACAGCTTGACTTGCAAAGCCTCCCTGTCTCCCGCTCAGGATGTCTCCACTGTGGACACGGGAGCTGTCCAGGTGCTGCATGTCCATTTGGAGGACAGAGGAGTCAGTATGGAGCACAGGCAGGAACCTTGGGTTCCTAAGCACGTCTTGAGGATTTGTGAGGATAAGCGTTTCCCATCAGCTGTAAAGAAAGTGAGCCCCGCAGGCTCCCGATCAGAAGAGCTTGGAGGAGGAGATGCAGGGTTGAGAAGTGGAGGAGATGCAGGGTTGAGGCCTTCCCAAGCTAGAAGGAAGAGATTTCCTTCTCAGGGCACAGCATTAGAGGAGATGCTTGGTGGCAAGCCTCCCCAGACCCTGCCACAGAAGGGACAATCTCCTGACAGCCTTTTCATAAGTAAAATGAAGACCTTTTTCCAATGGCTTCATCCCGAGAGAAAACTCACAGAGCAAGAACACTCCCAGAACAAGGGCAGGCCCATATCATCTGCACAGAGCAGAGGCCCAGTCAAAAGTAGAACCCTCTTTCCTGGGAGGATGAAGGTTCAGAGAGTCAGGTCTGACATTGGGAAGTTCCCAGAAGAGAAACAGAGGCGTCGGCATGCAGTCGATACCACCTGCCCTCAGGAGCCCCTTCCCTCTGCAGTGGAGTTCGGGAAAGCTCAGCAGAAGGCAGCAGTGGGGGCCTGGGCAGAGCCTGTCCAGGGGCATCCATTCCGCTCCAGGACTCCCTCCTGTAAAGTGACAAATACCAAGTCCGGCCGCCAAGAAGCCATCTTCGCTGGCCAGAGCTCTGCAAGTAGTAGACAGACCAGAAACAAGGGCGGACACCCCCAGAAAGTTGTGGTATTAAAGGATCAGCAACTATGTCAGAAGCACCCCCAGTCTGTGCCCCGCAGAGGGACTGTGCCCCGTCCAAGCCCCACCTACAGGCCTCAAGCTGCCCAGGGACCTCCTGCTGCTCTCACCACTGCTGAAGGCACTGAGTTCAGAGATCAGTCTCCACGACTTAGACCAAAAACGCTTCCCCAAATTTTCCAGGGGAAAAAAATTCCCAAAGTTCCCACAGCCAAATAACTGCCTCCTTGTGAAGAATACTAACTTGTCTAATGAAATTTTCTCTAACAATAGTGATGTCTTTTCTGTGTCCTGTGTTGGGACATGGGTTTGGGGTATCTCAGGGCTTGTGCTTAGGAAAAGGAGTTAGTTCAGCTCCTACTGATTGCCTCCTTTGGCTTCCTAAAGTGACCAGTCCCCTGGACTCTTGTTGAGAAGCAATCACGTGTCCTCCCCCGAAGCCCACTTCCTCCCGATGAAGTTTGGGAGATGGGCTCTGCCTCCTCCTCACAGCTCAGCCTTGGTGAACACGGACAGCAGCCTGCACCTGCCCCTCGGGGATGCTTTACATCCTTTAGGGCAGAAGGGAAGACAGGCCGTCTGTAGCTGAAGATGAAGGACGTGTACATTTCTCAGAGATATCAGTGAAAAACAGACAGTGGCTTAATCATTCTTTCTGAGAGGATCCCTCAGGTGGGTGAACCCTGAATGGGAGTGTTTGGGGGGATGTTGCTGCAGTGGATCCTGGGCTGGTTGGGGTAGGGCTAGGAACAGCATAGACCTTGCTCAAAGATCTTTCTTGTGGGTCATGTTAACATGTTAGGGAAGCACATACTTTAACCTTCACTCTGAAGTGTGCCTACTGGAAAGTCACCTTGAGGAAGTGGTTCCCATCTCCAGTTATTTCTTCAAGCTGAGGAATTGATGATATATATATATATATATATATATATATATATATATATATATATATATTTTTTTTTTTTTTTTTTGCTGAGCAAAAGCATCACTCAGCTCTCAGTGGTAGGAATGAATGTTAACCAGGCAGGCACCTACCTCCCAGGTAAAATAAAGCTGAAAAGAAAAAGATGCCTTAGAGTGAGTGAGAAAGGAAGAGCCAATGAAGGGAAAGAGTGACCTTGCGGGGGGAACACAGGTTGATGGCTCGTCAGCCCCACACTGGGACACTGCCTTGCTCCCAGCTTCCTCACACTGACCTAAGCTCCACCTGCCGGGGCTGAGCAGAGCACAGCACAGCACACTGAGGTGTTACACCAGAGAGGCACGGCTGTTCCTCCAGTACTCGATCAGTATTGGCAGGGACGTCGTCAGCATGGCATCCCTGTCTATGGGAAAGGTGACCTTGGTGCCTTCCTACCGTCCATGCTGGATGGAAATATATACGATCTTGCCCTTGGTGTGCACAGTTCCCCTATCAGGATGGAGATGTCGCCTTGGATATTCATGGCTTTGGTGGAGCTATAATAAATCTCCCCAGAACACCTGCGGCTCAAGAGCCAGATGTGAGTTCTTGACTATGCACCAGGATTACAGATATTTGAGGGCTCACCATGGGCCTCCGTGGAATGCTGTTTTTGGCTAAAGCTGCACACACACCCACCCTTACTACAGCGGTCGGGAGGGAAGGCAAGTCCACTTGCACAGACTGAATCACAAATGGAGTGAGTGTCCTGGTGGGAACCTCAGGGAGCTTTCCTAGTGAGCCCTGTGAATCCTGGGTGTACAGAGGAAACACAAAACAAGAACCGCAGATGTGCACCACAGCCCTCTCTCACCACCACACTTGTATCTTCTTGTCCAGAGTGATGCGTTCACCCTACCATGTCTGAAGCTTGGGGTCACAGAAAAGGTGCAGATCTGTGAAACTTCTAGTAGAGACAGAAAGGTGGCATGGGCCCCAGGCAGGGAACTTGAAGAGGGGAGCAGGCAGTGGAGGGCTCTAACGTCCTGTGGACAAGCAGCCAGTAACCCAGCCCCCAGTTCCTGCATCGTCTCATCTAGGGCCCTTTACTTCCCTGCAGTGTAGGTACTGCCACACCGTAGAGCTATCACCAGGCACACCTCTGCCTTTGGGAGTCCAGCCGGACCTGCCACATCTTTGGCCTCATCCCCTATCCTTCCAGCATAGATGCCCATTGTTAATTTTGCAAATCCAGGTCATTTTCCCACTCACTCCCTGTCCATCCACGAAGCTCTTGTCTGCCTCCCTTGCCCAGGTGGACTTGATGGTCTATCAGGTAACATTCAAAAAGCTCCACTACAATGGGCCCCTCCCAGTCCCCTTTAATCCTTCCTGTCGGGCAAAATATCAACTGTGTTTTTGCAGGGATGTCTTCCTATAAGTAACTGATCACTATTGGATTAAATCTCACAGTCAATTCTACTGGTGCCCCGGAACTACCTGGAACTCATTCATTCATTGCACAAATACAAATGTCATGCTTACTAACGTGTAACCAAACAAATGGAGCTTAGGTCTCTGTTTCCTTAGTCCCTTCTCTCCCCAGAGCTACTCAAAAGCATTTCAAGTCTCACTTCCCCAAACTGAGGCCACCTCCACTCCTCCACAGATGTGCTGGACCACAGTTCACAGAGGAGCTAGAGGCCATGCGATGGGGACTTTTCAACAAAACACTTAAAGAAAAATCCACTTTAACATTCTTCCTTTCCTTTTTCCTCCCTGTTATACGGAAAGAGGTTTCCTTCCCAACCTCAAAGGACTGACACTCCCTGGAGCCACCTTCCTGAGGGAGCTGGAGCCCCTTCTTGGTGGCCTGGTGCACCCCTGCCAGGTCCCTTTTGCCCCCTCCCTCTCCTTGTGAGGTACCCAACATCTTTTATTTTGTAAAGCTTAACACAGGAATGTCTAAACATGCATAAGAGCAGACAGAACAATACATCTTCCCTTGTACCCTCAGCCAACTCCCACAATTATCACCTGGCCTGTGTAATACACCCCATTTTCACAGCACAGTGAAAAGGCCCTTTGAACACCTGGTCGTCCGTCTCTCGGACACATGCTCTGTGCGCATGTCCGCGCACTCACTGCTCTTGATGGTCTCCACGCGTGGATCCCACTGATTCTGCGCAGACGTGCCGGCGTCCAGCCCTCGAGGCTTCGGCATCAGGTCTGCTCGCCCGTCAGTCAACCCTGAGGGGTCAGGTGAGTGAGCGCTTCTCTCAACTGCATACGAGACGTAATCTCACAGAGCAAACCCGGTGCACAGCACTGCTGTTCCTCAGTCACACCGAAACTATGCTAAATGCTAAATGTATACAAGTAGAAAACTACAGAATCGGCATCGCTGTATGTTTTCAAATATTTAGAAGAAAATTTTTTCTGTCACGCATGAACATGACTTAAACACAGTAGATCAGACACACTTGTTTATCTTTTTCTTCCCAAAATGCCTTTAAAAGTAAAAGATTAGATGGAAAGATGCTCAACATCATTAGCCATCAGAAAAAAAATGCAAATCAAAACAGTATGAAGTAGCAAGACACAAAATATGGCTAGAATAACAAATTCAGGTAAGTGTCACTGAGAATGTGGAGAGTGGAACCCTCATACGCTGCTGGTGGGAATGAAAAGTGGGGCAGCCACTTTGAGAAATAGTCTGGCCCTTCCGCAAAAAGTCAGTTACTATATGACCCAACAATTCCACCTCTAACTATACACTCACGAGAAATGAAACTTGTAAACAAATGTTCAGAGCAGCGGTATCCAGTACTTGTTCTAGTCAAAGGTGGAAACAGCCCAAAAGTCCATCAACTGATGAATGGTAAATAAAACATGGTATATCCATGCAATGTAATATGTTTTGGCAATAAAAAATATTATTACATGTTACAACACAGATGAACCTTGAAAGCACAATGCTAAGTGAATAAAGCCAGTCACAAATGATCACATGATTCCATTCATATGAAATGTCCAAAACAGAGGAGACTAGAGAAACAGAGAACGCATTAGTGGTGGCTCAGGACTGGGGGTGGGGAAGGGGAGGAGAGGGATGATAACTAAAGGTTATAAGGGTTCTTTCTGAAGTCATGAAAATGTCTTAAAATTGGCTGTGGGGTACACATGTCTGTGGATATAGTAAAATCATGAAATTATGCACTTTGGGTGAATCGTATGGTGTGTGAACTCTATTGAAAGTAAAACAAGTAAAGGATTAAAAGGGAATAAGTTCTTGAGAAGGACAAATAGGGGAGAGGACAAGACAGCAGGTGTCCCCACGTCTCTGGAAGCTGGGCATCCAGGGGCGGAGGCTCCGTGAGCAGCAGAGCGGAGGAAGTGCTGCAAACCCAGTCACCACCACCCCGAGACCAACCACCTGGGGGCCTGACAGGGAACGAGGGGTTCCGTGAGGTAAACATCTCTAGTTTTTTGTTCTTTCATTATTATTGTTTCATACAATTTTTTTTTCATCCTCACCCGAGGACATATATATATATATATATATATATATTTGCATTTATCTTCAGATAGAGTGGGAGAGAGAGAGGAAAGAAGAGAGAGAGAAACATTGATGTGAGAGAGACACATCAAGTGGTTGCCACCCACACGACGCCAAACGGGGACGATGCCAAACGGGGCCAGGGACAAACTGCAACCGAGGTACGTGCCCTTAGCAGGAACCGAACCTGGGACTCTCTGGTCTGCGGGCTGACGCTCTAACTGCTGAACCAAACTGACCAGGACAATCGTTTCATATAATTTTTTAAAATCTTTTATTCTTTGGGGGGAGGCATGGCGGTCTCCAGTAATTTGTAAAATCCTTCAGAAAAGCTGGCGAGCTTCACGTGGGCAGTGGACGCCAGGTTTCCTGCCTGGGGCAGCAGCAGACAACTGCCTCACAGCTGGCACTGCGCACCTCTGGGGTCTGGGTGGGTGGTGGTAGCCGTGGAAGTCAAGCCAGAAATCTCAGAGGGCAGGTGACATTCAGGAAAACAATCAGTGGTCCATTTTTATAATGTTTTTATTTGAAAATAATCAAACTTGTGTAAAAGTTGCATGCATGGTAAAACCAGAAACCCTTTGTCCGATTTACCTACTAACATTTCGACGCATTTGTGATTTCCCTTCTCCGTCTCTGTCTCTGTTTCTGTCTCCTTCCCTCCCTCCCCTTCCTCCCTCTATATGAACACACACAGATGAAAAACATGCGTGCATTCCTGCGTACTTGAGTTCATGCATCACACGTTTTCTCCTTCAA